GGGTGTGCCGCCAGGAAGTTGGAGACCTGTTTCCTGTTGCCTGCCCTAGCTCAGCTGTGCGACAAGTCACTCCCCCCCTTTGGCTTGCTCACCCCCTTCTGGCTCTGGCCTTCTGTGGGTCTGCTCTGATATGTTTGTCGTTTAGCATTTTATTGGTGTATGTGACAGGTGTCCAAAGGAGCGTCCCCGACCCAACCCTCACTCACTTATTATACCCGAAGTATATCGATGCCCCAGTACTTCATGAGTCCAATGTATGACTCTGTATGAACACACTCATTCTGTATTCTGTCAGGGATTTTAGTCCGGCAAGGGAAGGACTCTTGCCTAAAACTGGTGAACAAACACTGACAATGGATTATGGCCGTCATAAATAATGATGGTTTGCTATAATAAGACTCCCTTAAATATAAGGCCACTTATGTGACCCAGAGACCTCCGAACCTCAAAGCCTCAGTTACCTTTTTTGCAAAATGCAGGGGCACTCGATAAATGGTTGCTACTGCAGTTATGTGTTTTTTTTTATTTGCATAATTATGGTAATTGTCATTCTCGAAGCACTTTTAGGTTCATTATTCATTCTACCAAGTGCCAGGCGCTGGGGAACCTGGTGAGCAGAGGGAGCTGCGTGAGGGGCTCCTCGGGCTCAGAATCGTGGGGAGGTAGTTCTGGATCAAATAATACCAACACAGTGCCAAGGGCCACTCTGCACGGAGCTGAGTGAGTGAACACAGACGACATTTATGGCCCATGTCCTGGAACAAGAGTTTCATTTAACTTTATTAGGCCAGCACCTCAAAGCAAACCACTAGCGTAGGTGGGCTAAGCAGGTGTGACGTGCATTTCACAGATGAAGGATCTCCAAGGTCACAAGCCCTACTCGAGTCCCCTCCCTCTCTGTCCGAGCAGGGAAGGAGGAGATGCTGAACCAGCGTGACTATGAGTCGGCGTCGCTGCAGGAGTTGCGGGCGTTATTGCGGCGCCACGAGGCCTTTGAGAGCGACTTGGCGGCACACCAGGACCGCGTGGAGCACATTGCCGCGCTGGCCCAGGAGCTCAAGTGGGTGTGGCCCGAGGCCGGGCCCTCCCCCTGGGACAACGCCCCCTGCCTGGCCCCGCCCCTCGGCTCTGAGCCCCGCCCTCACCCTCATTGCTTTCAAGGCATTTGACAACCCAGTCTTGGTAACCTCTTGCTCCGCCTCTCCTCCCGTATCCCGGCCCCATCTCCGGACCCTGCTCAGCTGCCCACACTCCTGCCCACTGGGGCAGTTGCTGGCCCCACCCCCGTGGCTTGCCCACTCCCTTCAGCTCCCGGGCCTGGTCTGCTACTACCTCGCCCCCTCCTGCAGTAAACTCACCCCTTCCCGTATAGCCCTGCCCTGAAACTCCAGGCTACGCCCCTCCACGCAAGCTTGACCTTGAGTGACTACATCTGAGACCAGTGGGCACCCTTATTCCCCCAGGACCATGCCGGGAACTCCCCCTTTAGGCAGGAAAGCCCAGCTCAACCCTCACCCGCCGTGGCTGCCTTACACCTTCACCACCACCAGGGGTGTGGGTGCAGAGCGAATGTGGGCTGTGGCCTGGCCCCACCGTCACCCCCTCTTCTCACCCTCAGTGAGCTGGACTACCACGAGGCCTCCTCAGTGAACAGCCGCTGCCAGGCCATCTGTGACCAGTGGGACAACCTGGGCACCCTGACCCAGAAGAGGCGGGATGCCCTTGAGGTGAGGGCGGGGCCAGGGAGCAGGGGCCTGGCCACTGGAGACAGGCGAGGGGGCCTGTTGGGCAGACCGCTGACCCGCCTGCCATCCCTGCGGCCCTCAGAGGATGGAGAAGCTCCTGGAGACCATCGACCAGCTGCAGCTGGAGTTTGCACGGCGGGCAGCGCCCTTCAACAACTGGCTGGACGGTGCCGTGGAGGACCTGCAGGACGTGTGGCTGGTGCACTCGATGGAGGAGACCCAGGTGGGTGCGGGCGTTCTGGGGGTCTGCAGCTGCGTGAGATGATGGGAAACTGGCCTGAGATCCTGCCGGCCACTGCTTTTGGCCCTTGGGGAACGGAGACAGAAGGCAACCCCAGTTCCCTGACGCTGGGCTAACAGACAGGAGGCCTGGACTCCTGAGCCAGCCCTGCCCTGGACCCGCTGGATGGCCTGGAGCTCGTTGCTGCAGGAAGTGGAGGGGCGGGGGGCTGGCTGATCCTGCCTGCCTGCCGCCCGCAGAGTCTGCTGACAGCACATGAGCAGTTCAAGGCAACGCTGCCCGAGGCTGACCGGGAGCGCGGCGCCATCCTGGGCATCCAGGGTGAGATCCAGAAGATCTGCCAAACGTATGGGCTGCGGCCCAGCTCCGCCAACCCCTACATCACCCTCAGCGCGCAGGACATCAACGCCAAGTGGGACACGGTCAGTGCTGCCCGCGGCCACTCCCTGCCTCCTGTCCACTCCCGAGCACTCCAACCACCCTGAAACCTCACGATAAGGATCTGGGGTCTGTCATAGACTCCTTGTGGCACGGGCCAAGTCACCTTGCCTGCCAGCCTCATCTGTGAAGGGGCCGTAACAGCAGCATCTTCCCGTCAGGCCTGCTGTGAAGTACAGTGGAACCTGGCGTGCGGGCGATCCTTCACAAAACCACCCGTTAGTTATGAATGAAGTTGTTGAGGGATTTGCCCAAGAGCCCGCCCACAGGGCCCTGACACCTTAGCTCAGAGCAGCAGGGGCTGTTCGAGGGACTGGGTTCCCCTGCCGTAACCACCGCCCCTCCCAGGTCCGAAAGCTGGTGCCCAGCCGTGACCAGATGCTGCAGGAGGAGCTGGCACGGCAGCAGGTGAACGAGAGGCTCCGGCGACAGTTCGCAGCCCAGGCCAACGCCATCGGGCCCTGGATTCAGGGGAAGATGGAGGTGAGGCTTGGGTGGTGGGGCAGGGCAGGGCCGGGCCACCGGGAGCTGGGAGTCCTGGGTCATCCCGCCTGGGTCTCCCTGCAGGAGGTGGGGCGCCTGGCGGCCGGGATGGCCGGCTCCCTGGAGGAGCAGATGGCTGGACTGCGGCAGCAGGAGCAGAACATCATCAACTACAAGAATAACGTCGACCGGCTGGAGGGGGACCACCAGCTGCTGCAGGAGAGCCTAGTGTTCGACAACAAGCACACCGTCTACAGCATGGAGGTGGGACCAGACCCGCTGAGAAGGGGGCAGGCGGCTCGGGCTGGGGGCGCCTGGGGCAGCCACAGCTGGACATACCACATCAGCTCGGCCACGGCCCTCCATACACCCCTGGGAGGTACTGAAACCCGGTGCGTGAGAACTGACCTGTCTGGAGTTCCACAGCAGTCTAAAGCCAGACCAGGTTGGCGTGGCTGGTTGATCGGTACTCGATACACAATAAATCATCAAACATTAAAGCAGGAAGGGCCACTGGAGGTGGCCCTGTGGAACCTCCACCTGGGTGCGGAGGCCCGGAGTGGAGGGGGCTTGCCCAGTGTCTCACAGGGGACTGGGGGCGGAGCTAGGGCTCACGCCAGGCACGGACTGCCCACTGACCTGGCCCGTCTCCCTGCTCTCCCAGCACATCCGTGTGGGCTGGGAGCAGCTGCTCACCTCCATTGCCCGCACCATCAATGAGGTAGAGAACCAGGTCCTGACCCGAGATGCCAAGGGCCTGAGCCAGGAGCAGCTCAACGAGTTCCGGGCGTCCTTCAACCACTTTGACCGGGTCAGCAGCGGCCCGGCCTTGCGGGGCGGTAGACTTGGGGGGGCCGGTGGGGTCGGAGGACCAAACCTGACACCTGCTCACCCACTGCAGAAGCGGAACGGGATGATGGAGCCCGATGACTTCCGGGCTTGCCTCATCTCCATGGGCTACGACCTGGTGAGTGCCCCCCGCCTCTGTCCCAGAGGTCCCCTCAGCGCCCTGTCCTACATGTGGACACTCACGTAGGTCCTCCTGTGTGTTCCCACCTTAACATTCCATGATCTCCTCACCACACCCACTGGGGCTGGGCAGGATTATGCCATTTCAAACAGAGGCTACTGAAGGCTCAGAGAGGGAGACTAACTTAGTCAAAGACACACAGCTGGAAATTTGGACCTAGTTCTGCGTGACTCCGAAGCCCGGGCTTGTAACATTTTTACTCAGAGAAACGGCACCACAGAGGGCCCCGGAAGAAAGAGCAGGACCAGCGGCAACAAGGGGCGTTGCCACAGGCAGGACACAGGCTGCAGTCTGTGGAGAAACGGAGCATCCTGCCACTGGGGTGGTCAAACTAGGGCTGGACAGTTCCCAGGAGGCTCCGGCACCCACGGGCGTGATGCCTGGCGTCTAACCCCTGCAGGGGGAAGTGGAGTTTGCTCGCATCATGACCATGGTGGACCCCAACGCAGCCGGGGTCGTGACCTTCCAGGCCTTCATTGACTTCATGACCCGGGAGACCGCTGAGACTGACACGGCTGAGCAAGTTGTGGCCTCCTTCAAAATCCTGGCGGGAGACAAGGTGAGTCCCTGGCATGGCGGGGGCTGGCGGGCGGGGGCCGGGAGTGGGACCTGCGGGCCCTCAACACCCCCTCTCCCCCAGAAATACATCACCCCAGAGGAGCTGCGGCGCGAACTCCCGGCCGAGCAGGCCGAGTACTGCATCCGCCGAATGACGCCCTACAAGGGTTCTGGGGCTCCCGCTGGAGCCCTGGACTACGTGGCCTTCTCCAGTGCCCTCTATGGGGAGAGCGACCTCTGACCTCGAGCTCTGAGGTTCTCCATGCAAGTCAGACAGAGGGCGCTCCCTCTGATTCCGTCCATCCCTCAGAGCACAGACCCCCAGTCACAGCCAGCCAACTGTTTCTGAATAAAGATCCACTGCGGGTCTTCCTCCGTCTCCTCTGGGTTGCAGAAACAGACGCTGGGCCCTCAGGTTCTTGGGCGGGACCAGCTTCCTGAACTTAACCTTCAGAAGTTCCCACCACCCCTACTCGCCCTCAGGGACCGGGCATCCACACCACACTGGAGCGGAGGACACCTCTTTATTGCTGTTAGACGAGGGTGCTTACAACAGTTTGTCTAGACATGAAAGGGAGCACTGTCCCCAAGTCCAGGGGGTCCGGAATTTACAGCATTGCACAGGGGAAGCCCGGGCGGGAAGCCAGAGCCTGCTGAGGGCAAGCTGGATTTAGGACCAGAGTATCTGCTTCCCACCTGTTCCTTCCCCAACCCCAGGGTTCCAGCCTCAGCTTTAACCACCCAAACATCATCCTTCACCCCAACACCCTCCTAGCTACCACAACTCAACAAAGGTGCAGCTGGGGAACCCCAGAGTGGGAGCGGGGGGGTAGGGGCTGTACCCCTAGCCCAGTGTCCTTTGCCCACCCTGAGGTACCTGGCGCCCACCCCTCAGCCAGCTGTGTCTCCTGGACAGGGGCCTGGACATGCAGGCCAGGCTGGGGGAGGGGCTGCCCCGGTCAGCACCAGGTCCTGAGCTGGTGCTCCTTAGTCGACCACCGCCGAGCTGGCCATGACGTTCACACCACAGGCCCTGGACCCACGATGCAAGTAGTAGTAGCCCTGGGAGAGAGGGGCGGGAGTTGGGTGGGCACCAGTGCAGGGTAGGGGGCTGGAGGGCAGGGGCCGACCCGCAAGACTCACCTCCTCACCCCAGTCAGTGCCCCAGCTGTTCTTGATGGCCCAGAAGGGCACATCGGAGCCTGGGGAGCAGAGGGGAGTGCAGGGAGTCAGGGCCGAGAGCACTCCGCACTCTTTCAAATATCTGCTGTGGGCCTACTGGGCGACAGGTGCTAGGAAGAGCGCAGAAGAAAGGATGGGCCCACCTACCACCCTTCTCACCTGGTGGGGCACTGGGGTTTGAGAAGGGCACCTACCCACACCCCTCAAGCGGGTTAGCCGTCCGTACGGCTCGGCCTCCCACCGCGTCAGCTTTCCCATCCACAGAGGGGATGGGCGATCCCACCTGGCCCAGAGCGGGCGCCGGGGTTGAGGACTGGGTTCCTGGGCTTTCCCCAGATGTCCCCCCCCCCCACTAGAGGTCCTGGGATGCCCTGGTTCGACCTCTGCCTGTGACCTGGGGCGGATGGGCACAGAGGGGGTCAGCCAGACTCACGGTTGCCGTAGCCCACGAGCAGCACAGCGTGGTCAATGAACCAGGGGCTGCAGAGGAGCCGCAGGGGGCGGGAGATGCCCCTGCGGTAGAACTGGGGAGGGAGAGCAAGCAGTCAGGGGCCCACTCCGAGGAGCGGTGGGGGTAGAGTCAGCAAGAAACGGGGCAGGGACAGCGGGGCAGGGGCCTTACCTGCATGCCGAAGGCGTTGATGGCGATGGAGATGGGGCCCTTCTTGGCCAGCCAGGCCGCCAGCTCTGAGACAGGGGAGGGGCGGCGTCAGGGGCGGCGTCAGGGGTGCCCAGGCCCCGGTCCCACACGACCTGTCCTCACCCCCAGCCCTCACTCACTTTGCTCATCCTTGCTTAGCTCCACTGAGTCGTTGATGTAGACCTTGGCCTTCTCCGCAGTGAAGCTGCAGGTCTGCAAGTGGCCATGGTAGCTGTAATCATCCTCCGTCTCCAGCCCTCCTGGGGAATGGCAGGGGGGCAGTTGGGGGAGCAGCGAAAGGGTGGACCCTGTCTACCATGCACTCGGCTTCTCCCAGCCAGAGGCTGTGCTGAGCCCCTATCCAGGAGGCTTCACGTTCCTCATCCACCCCAGGCCACAGCCTCCCCCCGTGAGGAAGGGGCTCATCCTAGAGATGACACGAGGCTTGTGTCTCGAGGGAGTCACCAGCGAGAAATGTGGCAGAGATGGAACTCAGCCCCTAACTTCTCGCTCCTCACCTGCCGCTGCTGTCCTAGGACTCTTGACCTTGGCTTGCCTGTCCCGCTCCGACAGGACCCAGCCCCGACTCTGCCCAGGTGTGCGGGGCTCCCAGTCTGGCCCGACCCCGCCGGGCTCCCAGACCTCTCTCCATACAGCCACGTCTGTCCCGCACCCCCTCATCCTTCTACCACGGCAGCCCACTGCTCCACTGACCTGCCCATTTAGGTCCACACCTCCCCTCAAGGGTGAGGTGTGTCGCCCCCTGGTTTAGAAAGCACCTAGAAATACAGAACTCCAAGGAGCAAGAATACCAAGACCCTGTCCTGTGCCAGGAAGTTGACACATTTCCTCGCTTGATACTCAATCCTACCACGTGGGCATGAGTCTCATGTCACAGATGTGGCAACGGGGCCTCTGAAAGAGCCGACTTGCCCAAGGGCTTCCACCGGAAGGGCCAGCGTGAAGACCTAAGCCCAGTTCATGCGGCTCCTACGCTCGGGTCTCTCCCCCTCCCAAAGAGACTTCTTGTGGAGGAAGAAGTGGCTCCTACTGTCCCCACTGCCCCCTCGAATGCATACCCAGAGTCTTTATGGCTGAATAGGCGTTGGAGGGCAAGCCGCCCATGCAGGCCTTGTCCAGCGTGTCACAGTCCACGAGCTCTAGGAGACAGAAGGCCGGTTCCAAGGAGCCCACAGGGTGGGGGGGCGGGGGGGGGACTGGGCTGGAGACAGGGGGATGGAGCGGGATGCTCACCCTGCTCAGAGAGGGACAGCAGGTCCCCCTGCCTCAGGAACCACTGGCCCTCCACATTGCCTGTGACCGAGAAGGCCCAGCAGGAGCCGCACATGCCCTGTAAGAGACAGGCAGAGTCAGGACCGGGTCCGTGCCCAACCCCGGGCAACCCCCACATCCCACCCTCCCTTGTGAGGGGGTCCAACCTGGTTCTTGACTTTGGTGACAGCCCCCTTATTCCTCCAGTCCCACTCGGGCGGGGCGGGGTCATCCACAGGCTTGGCTGGGCGCATCTTCTGGCCAAGCCCCTCCTTCAAGAGGGGGTTCAGGTAGAGAGTGCGGAACTCCTCCTCTGTGGGCACAGGATAAGTCGTGGGGGGAGCGTTCTAAGCCAGCCCTGATTAGGGCCTTGGGAACAGGCGCCATCTCTCCCAGGCTCCATGAGAGCTCTGGCCACCACCCCTACCTGTGAGGTCACTGAACTTGGTGACTCCGTACTGAGCTGTGCCACGGTCCAGGGCCTGGATCTCCTGAGCTCGTACCATGTTATTCATAAAGATGGACATGCGCCGCTGGGCTTCTGTGGACCAAGGAGCAGTAGAGGAGGGGCTCAGGCCCCAGGCAGATCGCAGAAGGAAGGGTGCTCAGGGCTAACGGGCAGAGGTTTCCCCGGGGAGCAGGGTAAACTCAAGAAGGTGAGCAGGTAGGGATGAGGAGGCCAGACCAAGAGGAAGGTGTGATGAACTTTTGGGGTCAAACAGGGCTTACGATTTCCCAGGTGTGAAGGAAAAACCTGAATGAACGGGTGCCAAAGAGCACCCCCAGCTGGGCAGTCATGGGAGGAGGCCACCGTGCCGGGGGGCCTCCGACAAACAAAACCTGGCCTTTGCCCCATGCCACTCTGCCCAGAATGACGGAGAGCCGTGGCTTCTGACCAGGAAAATCAGATGGGAGAAGGGGCTGGGTCCTTACGGTGGCTGCCCAGTCCTGGGAGGCTGAGCAAGAGCTTGGGGACTGAGGGGTCCTTGAAGGGGTGCACTACCTCTTCTGTCCTGCCCCTCCCAACACCAAGGTGCCAAGCTGGGGGAAGGCCTGATCTGGTTGGGACAGTTACAGCCCAGGCTGGGCCCTTACCCTCCTCTGTCTCATATGTCCGGTTATAGGTGGCGATAAAGTGCTTGAAGAGCGAAACCATTTCCGTAGAAAAGTTCTGGAAAGACAAAGGGGTCTTTACAAGGAGTCCTTCTTGGACTGACCCAGGAGCCCCAGGCCAGGGTGATGGGAAAAGAAGGGCAATAAGGCAGCAGCCAGCTCTCCAGAGTGAAGAGCACCTCACCTGGGGCAGGGGGTCCTTGTTCAGCAGTGGAAAGAATGAACTGAAAGTCTCGTTTCTGTCATCTGGATAGGGTTGGAACAAAGAAGTCAAGGCTGCACTCTAGATGAAATCTGAGCCGGGCTACCCCAACATCCTTGGGCTACCCCAGCACCTGCAACCTTGGCATCCGCGGGGCCACAGTCCCCCCTCAGCAGCGTGTGCTCTCCCAGCTCATCCAGGACTTCAAAGGTGCAGAGCTGGAAGGACAGGAGCAAGCCAGTCTGGGGCCCTTGGCTGGATGGTGCTGCAGGCTCCTCGGACGAGGATCACCCCCAAGGCAATCACCCCACCTTGGAGAGGCACTGCCAGCACCCGGATAACCTTTTTTAGAGCATGGTCTCTGGCCCTCACGGACAGGGAAGTGACCCGGGTAGCTGTGGCCTCTGACCCCTTCCCTTTAGCTTGACTCATTTTCCCAGCTGCCACCAGACTCAGCTTGGGGGTAGGGAATTTAGGAAGCCCCATCACTCACCAGGGTTCTCTTAGACACAGGGAGCTGGCACGTCATGGGATCGCTGCAGGGCAGCTCCTCCTCCAGCGTCGCCTTCAGGGAGTACAGCGATCCCCGGCCCGCCTGGTTGGAGGGGCGGGTAGGACCGTGAGGCAGGGCATAGCTACTCCCTCCTCAGCCCTTCTTCAATGGTCCCACAGCTCCACCGCGCCCCCTCCCCCTTCCCAATCACCGGGGGTGTCCCAGCCATCCAGTGCCCCCACTCTAAGTCTAGGCCAAAGTTCCAATCCCTCGGATTAGGGCCCCGAGCCCACGTCCCCGCTGTGTCCTCACTCGACGGACACGACCGCTGACGGCCCCCAGCACTGCCCGCGCTCCGGCAGCCCGGCCGCGGTTGTAGGTCTCCAGGGCGAAGCGAGCGGGCCGCAGCAGCTCGGGGGTTACGGGCTCCCAGGCCTGAGCGTCGGCAGCTCGGCGGGGCGGGGCGGAGACAGCGCCCCGGAGCAGTCCGAGCAAGGACAGCAGGGGCAGCCACGGAGCCATGGCGAGGGCGAAGCCGGCGGCCTGAACGCACGGACTGCTCGGACCGGCCAATGGGGCGGAGCAGCTCGTGGGCAGGGGGCCTGGGTCCCTCCCCCGCTGCTGCCAAGGCGCCCGCCAATGGGCCTCCTCCGGGAGCGCCTGCGCGCTCTCCTGTTTACGCGGGGCACGTGGGGCGCGCTCGCTGCGCGGGCGGGCGAGTGGGTTCCATTCTGGTTGCGGTCAGCTTGTCTTGCCCAAACGGCGTCTGCGAGCATCCGACTCGAACCCCAGCTCGGGACTAATTCTGTTAGGTGTTTGGAGCTGGCCTGAGAATGAAAGTAATAACTAACATGTAATGCATGCTCATTATATGTTAACATACAATCGTCGTAGCGGTCTTGTGAAGTCGCTGTGATCCCAATTTAACAATGAAGGAAATAGAGGCTTAGAGAGGTAAGTGGTTTACTAAATATTGGATAAGTGATGGAGCTGGGCTTGAACCCTGGAAGTTGGCCTTAGAGCCTGGCTTCACAGCGTGATTCTTCCTTGAGGCCCCTCTTCTCATCAGCAAGACGGGCAGTTCCTTAGGCTGTTGTGAGGGTCAGATGCAACCACTCGGTTCTCAGGGCCTAGCAGGAGGAGGTGTTGGATAGGACAAGGGTCATTCTTACTAAATGCCATTCTTGCTAAATATGGAAATGCAGCACAGTAATTTGCAGAGCAGCTATAAACAGGATGAGTTTGACAGGAACCCAGTCCAATAAGTGTAGCCAACTGAAGTCAACCAGTCATTGACCAAATAGCCAAGCCCCTCTTCCTGGCAGACAGAGCTTTGGGTATGAATCCTGTCTTCTTTACTTGCCCCAAGTAGGTAAAACTGCGTGAGACAACCACAGCTCCTAGAATAGAGCATCCCAAGCACGAACCCCTTGAATTGGGTAACAGAGGCATAAAAAATTATATTATGCTGCCTACTTGAGTTCACAGTCTAGGGGAGAAATATATGAAAACTAAGGATTTTTCTGCATGATGTTTCAGGCTGAGGGAAAGGAAGCAGGGAAGAGAGACTTTTAGGGAGTTGGGGAAAGCAGAGAGGGTTAGTTTGAGCTTGGAGGGTGGGGGAAAACTGATATTAAAATCATCCAGTCCAAACCTGACTTTTCACAGCAGCAGGGATCTAGAGAGCCGGACTGACTTTCCAGCTGCTCAGAAAAGGGTGCTGGAGCCAGACCAGAGCCCGCTCTGAGCTCCCAGCTGAGGTCTGAGCAAAGAGGGCCTGAGGAGTTCCAGCAGATGCTGGTCTCTTCCTGCCGGTGCCCTCTCGGGGTTAAGGTCTTTGAGGCCCCTCTTGTCTCTCTTACAGGACACAGCCAGATAGAGCCTCTGGATTGGTCAAAGGTGGGGATCCTCTAGATGACCAGTGGTTTAGATATTAGCTGCCAGGTGGTCTGGATACTGAACGTTCTTGCCTTAGTTCTTCAGGGAGTAATCAGAGGGTTATCCAGAGGTTTGATGTATGTACATCCAGGGATTGACGAGGACTGGAACATGCAAAAGTTCAGGTTCTTGGGTTAGTTAAAGCAAGAACAGGATCGTTTCCTCTTACCTCAACCTACTTGATTTTAGTAATTGAGCAATTTGATTATAGTAACTCCATTTTATTTCTTGAGTGCACTGTATTCCTCACCTAATTATCTTTTTCTTTTTTTTAAAAAAGATTTTATTTATTTATTTTTAGACAGCAGGGAAAGGAGGGAGAAAGAAAGGGAGAGAAATATCAATGTGTGGTTACCTTTCACATGCCCCCTACCAGGGACCTGGCCCACACAACCCAGGCCTGTGCCTTGACTGGGAATCGAACCAGCAACCCTTTGAATCCTAGGCCAGTGCTCAGTCCACTGAGTCCCATGAGCCAGGGCAGTTATCTTTTTCTTTTGAAGTTTCTCTTCTCCCTCCCACCTCTAAGTTGTCCAGAATCCTCAGTAATTTATTTTGTTGGACAGAGCCAGTGGTGGGGCTGGATTCTGAGGGCAGAGTTTGTGATCTGACCCCTCTTCCCACCACCTGGCCAACTGGAGTCTGGAGTCCACTGCGGTGTTGACTTCTTGCCGTCACAGGGTGGCGCTGTTGAAGTGTAGTCCTCCTGCTCTTCCGAGTGTCTGAGCCCCCGAAAGAAGTTGGGGCCTCTCTCCGTGCTCTCTTATCCCACAGGGAGCACAGCCGCTGGGACAGGAAGGTAGAGACGGAGAAGAGTACAGCAACACTGAACAAAAACCACCCCTAGTCTACATACGTCCCTTACATGCAGCTAAAAATTAAAAAGGGGAGAGAGTTCTGGCCTCTGAGCTTCACACCACCTACCTGACATCAACTCTTTGGTCTCAAGCTTCGGCCCAACTGCGTGTTTTTTCACCCCCAGCACCCCTCAGGACCCTCCCCCACCTCAGCATGGAGCATCACTGTTCCCCCCGACACCTGAAGTGTCCTTGATGCTTCTCTTTCCTCCTGTCCCACATCAAATCCATCTCCGAGTGCTCTGGATTCTACCTCCTGATGTCTCCCAGATTCGTCCCTTCTCTCCATCCCCACGGCCACCGCTCAGGGCCAGCCCACCAGCCCTGCTTGCCTGACTAGATCCATGCTCACCTCCAACGCTGTATTCTCCGTGCAGCAGCTACAGGGAACTCATTGAATATGAGGGGGCACCCCCCAACATGGAATTTATTCATTAAAAATGGTGCATCTATTTTGACATGTTTAAACTTCAGTCACCTTCAAAGTACTCTCCATATGATGCAATACTCTTTTTTTTTAAAGATTTTATTTATTTATTTTTAGAGAGGGAAGGGAGGGAGATAGAGAGAGAGAACCATCAATGTGTGGTTGCTGGGGGTCATGGCCTGCAACCCAGGCATGTACCCTGACTGGGAATCGAACCTGCGACACTGTGGTTCGCAGCCCGCGCTCAATCCACTGAGCTATGCCAGCCAGGGCTGCAATACTCTTATTGAGATGTTTTTTTCCTTGCTCAAAACAGTTTCTGAACTCATCAATTTTGACACCTTTTAGAGCTTCTGCCATTTTTTGGGTCACCTTTTTCACATCGGCAAAACATTTCCTTTTGAGGACTTTTTTCATCCAGGGAAACAAAAAAGAAGTCACTTGGGGAGAGATCAGGTAAATAGGGAGGGTGGGGCATGGGGGTCATGCCGTTTTGGGTCAGAAACTGCTGAACACTCGGCACAGTGTGGGCAGGTGTGCTCGTATATCACCCATCATGAAATGGGCAAACGCTTTGAAAGAGTCTTCAAAAAATTCACTGAAGCTGAATGCAGCCTCTCACAACAACGCCAGCTGGCACACTGATCCAGATGGGCTCCTAGAACACTCAGCTAGTGGGGGAAGCCTATCCTACAAGAGGCCCACCCTCCGGAAGATAATTCTAGGTTTTATGGGTCCACCCCCCTTGTATAAACTGAACCTGGGTGGGCTGTGATACACAGACTAGATCCCCCTTTGAGAATGGACTTGGTGTCCAGCTACTGTGAGTGCTGCCCTTGGCTCTCAGTCCCTCAGGGCTTGACCCAGAGTCATGCCCCCTTTCCTAGATAGCTTCACGGAGTGACACACCTGAAGGGTCATCCCAGCTTCAGAATTTCCTGCTGGGTCAGGGGAGTCATCCACGGAGACCATGGAGACTGCGTGGCAGCTCAAGGCCTCCCCTGCCTAGTCTTGCTCCCCTCTTTTCCTCGGGGGCTGGCCCCGAGAGCCCTCCCACCTGGCTGCCTGCCTGCCAATCTTGATTTCAGTCCATAGCAATGCCTACCTCAGTGGCATTAGGCAAACTTTGCATTTATTGATTGATAGGTTTTTAAAAATACCAGTAAGTGTAGGTTTGGTAAAAATTTAAACAAATCATTCCTATACACGTTTTAGGCCGGGGACTGATACGTTCCAGCTAAAAATAGCCTAGAAAATGCCACAGGTTTGTGGCATCGGAGCAGCTACACAAGACATATATGAATAGGTGTGCTGTTCAAAGAGAACTCCTATCTTTAGCAGAATTTCTTTGGAGTCTAACAAACAAAAACTTGCATCTGGGTGGATCCCCACTTGGATGCCCAGAGACACTTCAAACTTGACCTTTTCAGGGTCAAATTCACCATCTTCCCCACCCCCAGCACCCCCATTCCCACCAGGCCCTCCACCCTCCCATTTTATGAGGAGTTCCCTCAGAGGCCCAAGCCAGACACCTGGGAGGCATCCCCGGCTCTGCCCTCGTTCCCCACATCCAGTCACCACCGAATGTTGCCAAATCTGCCTCCTAAGCACTCCACCCACGCTCCCACCCTGGCAGCCTCTGCCAGCTCCGCCTATCCCCAGCCTGGCAGCCTCCTGATGGTCACCGGTCACCCACAGTGCAGCCAAATGTCACCTCTTTGACTAAATAAAGCCTGTTAAAACCCCATTCTTTCTCCAACCTCATTCCCAAGCAATCTCCACGTGGTTTGCTCCTCTCCAGCCACACCGGCCTCCTGGGACCCCTCGGGCCCTCGCCCATAGCAGGGCTTTCGCACTTACGTGAACTCCAGCCAAGAGGGTTCTTGCCCCGCCTCCCCGTATCCCACAGCTCTTCCCACTCATTCTGGTGTTTTTTCAAATACTCCCGTCCCCGATGCCCATTAGAAATGGCCACTCTCTGAACTGTCTCTTGCCCTTTGTGTCCCCCCCCCCCCGTACCGTGTGTCACTCACATACCACTTGTTTTACCTGCAGGGCTGTTGGGTCTCCCCCACTGGAACGTCAGGGGTCTTTTAGGGGCTGGGGCTCTGCCCCCACCTGGGCAGCAGCAGGGCTGCAGCCAATCACCCCAGCCCAGATTTAAAATGTTGTCTGAGGCCTCTGAGTCTACGGCAGGCACAAAACTAAAACTCAGTAACTTAGAGAGTCAATTTATTTTTTAAGATTTTATTCATTCACTTTTATTCTCTCACTCAGGGAGTGACAGAGGAAGAGAAACATCAATGTGCAAGAGATACATGGATTATTTGCCTCTCGCTTGCCTCCAACTGGGGACCTGGCCTGCAACCCAGGCA